CCTCCGTCCATTCGTTCCTCATATTGTCTGCCGCCGCCGCGAGGGTTCGTCACGGGCATATAAAAGTGCCTATGCACGAAACCTATAGGGGTACATTAGGTTGCCTATGCACTGAGCACCAAGGAGCACATTAAGTTGCCTATATACCGTCCACTTAAGAGCATTCCAAAATTTTCATCGTCGACTAAGGTCGACTGGTCTTTCACCAAACACCCTCCATCTTCTCTAACATAACAACTATTATTATTTATTATTTACTATATTGATATATTATATTTGAATTTGATAACTATTATTTATACTTAACTACGATTTACTAAAAAACTGATGATCACTGTACACTAGTAATAATAATTTAATGTAAATAACGGTTTCTTAAACAATGACCTATTTAAAAATTCTTTTACTATCAACTCATTATTATTAATTATTTTTATGTAGGTATTTGTTAACCTAATGGTTCACAACTATACTAAATAGTAAATTAATACATATCATATAAAATGTGTATATATATGAATATGTATACAAGTTACCAAATGAATTATAAGTATTTTATTAAAATTAATTACATTTTTAAAATTAATATTAATCATATAGGTATAATACCTATGGTAATAGTATACATACCAGTAGAATGAATTATATAATTATAAATGAAAATATGGTCTGTGTGTCCGTTAGGTTAGGTTAGGTTATTATAATATTTCATTATATTTGTATGATTTTGTGTACCTATGGTTATAATTACTAATTACTATGGTACCTATCGCAAAAGTCGGGACATATTTATAACCACACATGTATATACGCATAATCCATGTGTCGGCCGAGTGTTAACCATCACTCGGTTAAGTCCTTGAATTCCATGTAGACGGAGACCCACTGATATTTTTAGAAAATATTTTTACGTACTCCTTCTAGCTAAACTCTAATCAACAAGATAATCACATATTATGTAGGTGCCCACATTTATTTTATAGTGTAGACATCACGATATCGCGACCGATCGCTGTCACCGAACCGATAAGGACCGAGCGATAATTTTTTAAAAGATATTTAAACTTGATGTTAATTCTATTTTGAACTAGTTAAAATTAGTTTTGACGAAAGTAGGTTAATAGTTACTAACAGGGCTGTGAATTAGATGCACTTAAAAACTTTTAAATATCCATGCATATATGCACCAAAATCTGACAAAATATGCTCTAAAAATTCTTAAAATATGCAAAAAAAAAAACTACAAAAATTAAACTTTTATTTTTATTTTTTTCATTGGTATAATTTTCTTATTAATTTTATTTTAAATATTAGTATTTTTACTTCTTGTATATGAGTTATTGATCTTAACTAGTCTTGGTCTTCGTCGTATACAAGATCTATAAAAGAAATATAAATTATATAAGTAATATAATTAAATATAATTAAAATTATAAATTTTACCTTTAAAGTAGTTATTGCATTGAACAACCAATGATTTCTTCAGGTTTTCGAATTTGAAAGACCTCCTGTTTGGTGCCAACAAAGTTTTATATAAAGAAAAGGAGCGTTATACGTCTGACGAAGTTATTGGGGCAAACTTGAAATACGTCATGTCGCAACGGGTTAAATCTTCTGGTATATCTAAATCTACGTCATTTTTTTCCCCAGTTAATATTTTTGAAATATTACACATAATTTGAAACCCTTTGTTTTTGTTGAGTACTGTTTGTAAAAATAGAATAATTTCGATAAAACAATAAAAATTATAGTTTATACTATAAGATTGACCGAAAAAATGTAAATATTACGAAAAAAAAACATTTAAACAAAAAAATTATTAAAACATGCATTTATATGCTCTAAGCTATGAAATATGCAAAAATATGCAAAATAAAATTTGGTATTTAAACTACAAATAAGTCAAAACAAATTTTGGCCGAATTCATTTTTTTATAAAGTGTAGCAAAAAAAACATGCAAATGCTTTAAATTCACAGCCCTGGTTATTAATAAACAACTAGACTTGACGAATTTCGGATTTTAACTGTAACATATAATACATAAATAATATTAGTATATTACTTAGTTAGAATTAAAATATAGAAAACACATTTATTTCCAGTATATAGTATGCCGGGCACAGGAACTGGCTTTTATTATAGCCCACAGAAAATTCCAAATATTGAAGCATTTGAGCCGTCGAAGATATAAAAATAATAATTGGCGAATTGCGCCCGTGAAAACAATAATTTTGAATCTCGCCAACAGTGGTGCGCAACGACCTAAAATAATTTGCGGCGGCCGTGCTAATCCTACGCAGACCGACTCGTCTGTGCTTATATTATTCACACAATCACACACGACACGATTATAACAATAACAATATACAGTGAAACCTCAAAAACTGTATGTAACGGACAGTCACGGGACCAAAATAATTGTCCGTTATAGACAGGTGTCCGTTGTAGACAGGTTTCGATGTTTTAAAAATTAAAATTTTTACGTACATTTGCATTTTTGTATGTTTTATAATATGTACATATTAGGTATAATCTTTATTAATATTATATTAATATTATACATATATGTATTATGCACATACATTCTACATAATGAATTTAATTTTAATTATTTATTACAATTACAATTATTAATTTTATATTACATACATACAATGACACATTATAAATGTATTATAATATTATGTAGGTACATACTATTATATTTGTATAAATTTATTAATTATTTCTTAAAAAATGATTCTATTGATGTTTGTTTTTTGAACTTCGATTTGGGCATTTCCAACTCGTGATGGATAATCAATTCGCTCACATATGAAAATCCTTTTGTTTTAAATTTAAAGCTTTGCGCGGCAGGGGAGGTGGCATTGCTAAGGAAAAGATGTACAACTCTGACTGCGAACCGATAGAAACCGCATAAAAACGTAATCCGTGTTTTCACTGAATGACCTAATTGCGCTCCTTATCGACGTTGTTTCGTAGTATGTATGTATGTATGAATTTTTGTCCGTTATGAAATTATTGGATTAATTATTAGTGTCCTTGTCCGTAAAAGAAGGAGTGCGTTATAGACGGGTCGAAATACATTAGAATGTTCCTATCTTTTTGCCGGGACCGGGTCATTTCGTCCGTTAAGAGAGGTGTCCGTTAAGTCAGGTTTCACTGTAATAATATACGCAGATGCCAGATTCGCAGAACAGATAATATTTTGTGTGTGTGTGGGTGTGTGTGGGTCGGTGGATAAGTGGCGTTCGGGCCTCAACACCAAGAATTTTCAATACGACAAGATCATATTTATATATGTACACGTAATACGTTTTTCCAACAACTCTCGACGACACGAACGCCATTCACGCCCACACACACACACTCACACACAGACACATTGTGTATAATACCCATGCTATAAATCATGATATAAATCCAAATTTCATTTGACATTTTGGACCCAGTATCGGCTTCTCAAAGAAGTTCTTTTCGAACACAATCCGCGTGTTTTTCTTTGTGATATTTTTGGCCGTACGGACCAAACTATTCTGTATCCTATTTATCACACGTGTATCACAATATATATACAATATTATTTTATCGCTGCGACCCGTATGTAGGACACCGTTCTGGTACGAGTGCCTGACAAAAGGCGCATCCCTACGATCGCAATATTATTTAGGTTCTATGTAGTCATACTGTGCTATATTGTTGCCAGGCGTCCGCTTGTCGCCGTCAACTTCATTGTTCTCGAAGAATGTGTTACACCCAGATTTCGAAATCACAGTTTCGATGATACCTATAATATCATGGCACGCAACGCACACGCATGCTTGATTATGTCGTATTATTATACACATTTCAATAATACAAAACATAATACAAAATGATGAAAATAGACAACGTCTCGCCGCTTAGAAATTAGAACACGGAACAAATAAATAATAATCTGGTTTTATAAAAATACAAAATAAAAATTTTAATTTTAATTTTATATTACAAGACATAAGTATGATGTGTGTTTCAATATTTATGTTAATCTGTTTTTCGTTACACAGTAGTTGTAGAATTCTTGAAATAGATTAGAAGCGAGCGATACGGTTATGCGTTATACGCCGCGGGTCATTTCAAATATGGTATTATATCCAATAGCCGCGTTGCGACTCGCGAATATGGGTGAGCGGGGTACGTTAAGATTAAACGTTGACGTTGTTCAAAATCATGAAACTTTGTAAGATAACTTAATATAGGAAATGATTGCTTATATTTGATACAATTTCATAAACCTTACCTACTGTGACTATTATTCCCAGGTCAATACTTTTCGATAATCTATTAAAATACTATAAGATAAGATTAAATGACGATTATTACATAGGATTTCCAGGCGTGTCCCACTTTAGGCATCGTTATAATATTAGTCATTCGATAAGTCGCTGGCACCAGTATTAGTGAGTTAATTGAGTGAGCTAACAGGTGCTAATAGTGCGTTAACCATGGAGAGTTCTTTAAAAACTATAATGTCTAAACGTGGGAAAGAGTTAGCTGTGGTTTCTTCACATAAATATCGTTTTATAAGAAAAAGCAGACGAATACCGTTAAAATGGATGTGTTATAACAAAAGTTGTTATGCCAGCATTTTAACTGATGTCAGAAAAACTCAAGTTAATGCAGTGATTGGTGAGCACTGGCATGAAGCAATAACACCTCAAAATATTGAGCGCCAAGTTCTCAAGGAAAATTTGCAAACGAAAACCTAGCGATTCAATTTCAACCCGGCCAAGCGGAATCATACGAAAAGAATTACTGTCAAATGCAGGTACAGGTTATATTAATATAAATGTCATAATTATTATAAAAATCCTTAATATTTCAAGGAAGTTGTAACGTTTTAAATATAGTATTTCATTTTGTTTTTAGTTTTTGAACATTTATTTCTTATTAGAAGAAAAAGGGGGAGTGCAGACGTATTAGTGCTATTCTTTTCAATTTCATAAATATACATTTAATATATTTAGCCCTCCTCGCTTAACAAATACTAATAAATAATAGTAACTAGAACAAGTATAAAATAATCACAACAAAACACTTCGTCGGACTACTTGTAAAAAATGGCCAAGTAAAATAAAGCAGATTTTTAACTAGCACTATAACGATGTGATATCATAAAGAAATTCTAAATTAATCGAATTAAAGTACACTTATTTACTTCAATAACTAATTTACTTGGCGAGAAATTATATACTTAACACGACGCGGCACACGAACAAATTGTGAACAATAAGCATTAGACGTTCAGTATGATTTAAAGTATTTTAATAAACATTTGTACTCGAAAATAATTTCTCGCCAAGCAAATAAATTATCCAAACAAAATAAGTGCACTTTCAAATTCGATTTACTTAGAACTCGTTAATTAAGATATAAAAATGTGTTGGGTATATGTTATTATCAGCGACGACGGGGAAGGCGAGCGGAGAACTAGCGGACGTGCACCGTACCGTCATTAGCTCACCTTATCGGCATTGAGTGCGGTATTGCTCCGCGCGTAACCACTAACCACCACCGAGGTGCTGCGTCTCAAGTTGAAGAGACGTCAGTAGCGCTTATCACAGGACATCGCCGCCGCAGTCGAAAACATCGCCAATATCTGTTTTCCGTGACGAACGAAAACACAGAAAAAACGAAACGAACAGTGCGCGTACAGTGTTGTTTTTCCTCCCTTTTACACATTTGTGAAAATCCGATATTCGCGTGTGCCGCGAGCCATTCGTCGCCGTCACCTGTAGCTGTCTACCGCTGTGGAATTAAGACCGTTTGTCGTGCCGCCGATGCTCATCACTTCCTGGACCCAACCAACGGCCATTCCACCTTCCGGATCGTCTTCGGGTCAGAGGTTCGTATTGTATATATTATTATACACCTATACGAATGACATTGATATTTATTGTTACATAATTCCCTGATAATCGTGTATTTCCGTATTGCATAAGCTCTCTCCCCCCATCCCATAGCTACTAAGAAAACGTGTGCATATCGTAGGAGTCGAATTTACAATAGACTCCACTATCGCCCTTTGGTAACTTTAGTGCGACCCGCACTAAAATTAAATATTTTATTTTTTTATTTTTATTTTATAATAATAAACGGGTTTGAAACCCTTTTGAAAATGTATACATATTACATAATTACAAAACATTCATAACAAAGAAAAAAGTTTGATTACAAATAATGATAGATAAATAATGTTAATTAGATTAGGTCGCTAAAACTGATAAATATAAAAAACGAAAAAAGATTAACAAATAGGTAGTAAAATTAAATATTGTTCATTCTAAAATCCAAAATTCTATTAACAGTTCATAAAATGAACGTCGTTTATCATTTTTATTTATTTTATCTTTCTATTTTAAACTTATTGAATTACCAGTTGGACGGATAAGTAGGCACCTACGGCCTACGACTATGAGTTTATTCATTTCCACCGCGTAGCCTTGTATGAACAGTTTATCCGTTATCGCTTATTGTCCGTTTGTATTTTATATTTTTATCCCGTATTGTCGTAATAATACGTAATTCTGTGCTTCTAGCATCGTGTGTTATTCTAGTTTCTGCGAATAAGCTGTTAATTGTAATTCTTTATCATGGCAAAACGTAAAATCGAAGATGAACACAGAATATTTCTAGACAGTTTGGAGATTGAATTTTTCTGTATTTCTGATAAGAAACACGATGCTTTATGTTTAATTTGTCTTAAACTATAGATATTCCAAAACGTTATAATATTAATCGTCATTAGGTACTCATTACACAGCTCACCAAAAATCATTAAAAATGTATGCGGCCCGCAAATAATTTTCAAAAATTACATTTGGCCTTTAATTCTACAATCCTAGTGATGACCGCTGTATTTAATCAATATGAAGTTGTTTTCTTCTCTCAAACTAATATTCCTTCCCTTTGTCCCTTATACGCCTCAAGAACTTCCCAGTAACACTCACCGACAGCAATATCTTTATATTTCTTAAAGATCTGTTTTTTTACTTAGCCGTTTTTTACGCGTAGTTCGACGATTTGTTTTCGTTCCGATTTCACCAATTTCACATCAATAATTTTTGTTCTAATTATCACACTCCGATTATTATTGTTACGCGTTCACTTTACAGTACGAACTAACTTGGGCGGCCGTGTTAAATTGCGAACCGGTGAAAGCAGCGCACAGTGATTTGAAACGTCATTTTACTCAAACAAAAGTCTTTATTTCAAATTTGTATTTGAATATTTTTTTTTATTGGAACTTTTATCTTTATACACTATTGAATACTGAGTCACAATCTCCTAAGTATAAATTTTAAATAACCAATATTTTTAATAATAATATATTTCTTTATGTTTATTAATATTTCATCGAATTGTATAGACTTACTTGCATATTCTTTCATATCGTACAATATTTTTTTTTGATAACTAATGTTTTTTTATTAAACTGTGAATTACCTTGGCTAATATTAAAGTGCCAAAAAATATTTTTTTTACCTATCTGTAGGTATTATAGAAAATAGAATAAATAAATAAAATATTTTTTTTTTTATAAATATGTAATTATAATTTATAGTTTATACCTACTATACCTATCTATATTATGGCAATATCACTTGAGGAAGCACTAATAATAATTAACTGTAGATAAAAAGACTCAAAAATGTTCGTTTACCGAATTTAGTGCGCAATTAGTGTAAACCCCAATATTCCCAAGAGTACCTACCTATATTAGTATATGATATACCTAACATTAAAAATGTAAATGATAATGGTTTAATATTAGTCGTCAGTAGTTTAATTTTTTTTAGTATACGATGTTATGTAATTGAGGTATTATTTATATTTTTTACCATTATTGATTTCTAAAAATATGTTTTTTTATTATTTTTTTTATAAGACATTATCATTACTGACTTTCTATAACTATACCACTCATTCTTTTCGAAAATATTAAATTTCGATTTGAATATTAAATGTAAAAGCATTGCCTACAAATGGCTTTGATTAATTTTCAACAGTCAAATTGAATCATAAACATCAATCATATAATATAACTATGGCTAAATAACGTCTTGCAACTCTCTGCGGGGTCAAATATCTAGATATCTAAATAATTGACTGCCACGAATAATTACCGACCACACACACACACACACCTACACATACAGATGGGTCTCCAAGTATTCTGGTAAGGAGCTTGTATCCGGGTTATGTTCCCGGATATCTGGCTATGTTATTGTACATATTGTTGCAGTACTTTTCTATACACAGTAAAATAGAGGAACACGTGTTTTATAACAAATCAACAATAGTGTACTGCACCCTTTTTTTTCGTGGTATTTTACCAATGCCTTGTATTATTTTATTACTTTATATTGTTGATTTTCAAAATCCGTCAACCACAACTATTATTAATAACATATAAAGGTACTTTCAAAGAAATAAAATAATACAATAAAATCATGCTCTTGACTCTCTCCTATATACAATCGCCAACGCCTTGTATAGTCTGTAGCTACGTTTGATTTACAAGCTGTGGTCATTATTTAAAAAAAGGTCTGACAGAGTGACAGAGGTTATTCAAAAGATGTTTTCCGAATAGGGATTAACTTTATGATGTTTACAATGTACATGTGTACAGATGTCATTCGAATGACCCGTAGTATACAAGAATTTGGTCCCAAAAAAAAAATCAGTCATACATAGGTAGGTTCTGATGTACTGGACCCGGCACAAGTATATAAAATGTATAAAAAAAAAAGAAAAGAATTATACCTACCTTGATTGGGAGGTCCGAGTTGTGGACGTGCGTGCTGATCAACATTAAAAATATAGAACGTATAATAATTAATATGAGGAGTGTATAACACCAATTAAAGCTGTGTAACCAATATTATATACAATTTATATTTTACCTTTTTAAAAACGAAATGTTAGAATTTAAAATTCACACTAAAATGATCTTAAAAATATTTACGAATGAATAATATACAATGAGGGGCCCGCAGGTTTATTTACCGTAAGGTGGTTGAAATGGAAGGAGGGCTGTATTATGATTGTTGTCCGTTGATATTATCGAACGGGAAACAACAATAATATATTATACAGGTATCGCGGATAATATGGCAAATATTAATCGGGCTTCAACTCGTGTGACTCAAAAACAAAATTCTGGTCACAATTAAGATTAGAACTGATTTAACTATATATGAATAATGTATATGTATAGATATGTATATGTGTGTGAGCATTTATTTGCATTGGACGTCACGACTATTTAACATTCATATATTTTTTATTTCATTTCGAAATGTAATATTTTTATATACGTTTTACATTTTATATAATCAGCCGGTGCTTGGAAAACCACATGTTGTAGGCGTTTACTATAAGCTGCGGTGGGTATTGTGTCGCCCAGCCGCGGTTCGACAGTTGAAACCGTGTCGTTATTGGTCCTCACGTTGTACGTCTTTTAATACGCCTCCCTAAAGCCACCGCGATGTTCTCGATCTACCTACGTGTTTATTTCGTTCAAAACACAGAATTACATACATATAATATATTATACAAATGGTTGAAATATAGAATATAAGTCGTTATTGGTTAATTACGAGCTCGTTGAGAAGGTTTAAAATATGAAATAATATCGGCAGGTATGTCACAAAATATGTTTTTCAGTACTAAGTTATGTTTTTGACTACGTCAAAAAAAAATGGCATGATGATTAAGAGAATTTTGATCCAACAGCTATTCAAAGCCAATCAACCACAAAACCCTGATAATCCATCTACAATAGCCCAGGAACGAATTATAAGAGAAGCAGTAGAGAACTTAGAAGGAACCCCGGCAATACCAGACTGAGCGCTTCGCGGCGTCCCTCCGCCGGCAATGCCTATACCTGAAAGAGTGATCCAAAGGGATAGGTTCATGAATATTTTAAGGCACAGGTAGCTATAATGCATTGTTATAATATTATTATGACGACACCGATTCAACTTGAAGTGTCCAATTGTTGTCTCTGTCTTGTAGCCGGTACAACACATAACAAATGTTTATTCAATAGAACTGATTTTATATTTTTAGCTTTAATTATCCATCCCAAGCGATATAATTCAATAATTGACATATCTATATCGTTATAAAACTTAAAATCCAAATTGGTAAGAATTATAAAAACATTATGTGAAACATTACTTTTTAAAGAATTTTAAATTATTAATCACTGAGTTATGATCATTTTCATATCATGGTAATATTTTGCATACGAAGTACTCGAAGCTTCTCTTTCGCCATAATATTGCTGCAAAAGTCGTTGGTTGAATGAAAAATTAAAAAAAAATGCTATTATCGAGTCACCGGCACAATTTTTTGTTCATAATGTACTCAGTGCAGGTGGTCATAACGGGAGCGATAATATCATTGCTTGAACCTTCGTTAGGTGGATTCCAAATGATAAAATATAAGCCGTTAAATTTTTTTTTTAAATGTATGTTTTAGGTACTTAATATTTATAAAATATATTCCAAGGTATAACGAAGAATTGACAAAACTAGGAAATTAAAAGTTTAATAATTGTTTAGTTGCAATTTATACACACATTACTTATGCATTAATAACTGAAATGTTTGTTTCTTTTCTGTTTTGTTTAAAGGAATGACAACGATCAAAATATTCGAAATAATCGACGACGGCGGCCATAGTAGACCAACAATTATTATTATTATTATGTTATTATTTTTATTATCATTATTATTAATATAGTTATTTTTATTATTATTATTTTTATTGTTGTGATTATTATTACTATTGAACAACTTAATATGATTCAATATGAGCCTGACATCGCGGCCGTGGCGTCTCTAGGGTACATTAGAGGTTCCTGTCTTTTTAATTTTAAGCGGACATGACCCGATGACATGATTAATATTAGTATTAACAATCACTCGATTAATGATTAATAATAATAAAGAAATATTATGTATTACCAATGTAAAAGTTGTGAATTGTTCGATAAAATCAACACTAGTTAAGTTTATAACCCATGCAATACGGTGTACTATTATTATTGATTATAATGGCGTATTTATTAAACTTTAACTTCAAATGCTTATAAGTCATTATAAAAATGTACGAGAAACCTTTATATCTAATAATATTCCTCCGTGGATGCTATAGGTATATACTATCAGTATTCTGGTTAAAATATAAAAATTTTATTTAATTGTTGTTGCAAAAGTATACATAAAATACCAACTAACGCATAATGAACAGGTCAGGTAATTAATACTAGGATAAAAACCTACATATTAAACACTTATGCACTTTTCACGGATAGTGTTTGTCGGAATAAATCTACATTAAATCGCAAAATGACTTACAGGGGCCACACGATACCTACCAGTTTCCGGCGGCTGCGAATAGGTTCGTCATTGCAGATATTTAGCACCAAACGTGTGCGACTCAGTACCTATACCGCGCCGTGCGACCTATAAAGACCGATGCAGTGGATCGTTAGAATGGTCTGTGGTACGTTAAACTGTTAAAGACTCGTATGCGGCGCCAATTCAACCGATTAGCTGACAAATCACATTGTCTTCATATGTTACAATACCATTAGTATTGTAAATATGTTTCGACATTAATTAAACCGAATTCCTACCTAATTCATTTTTCTGTACGATCTATACTGCACATGTATACGATAACATAAATTATATTGGTAATTAAGTCATAAAATAAGTTATAAATAACATATTATTATTACTTATGTACATTTTAATAAATAAACAAAAAAAAAAATGGTTTAAAACATGGGATTGCTCAAATAAAACATGCAGGGCCCGAATTCTGCTTAAAAACCAAAATACATAATTATATATTTACACTATAACACATGGGTCAGGTAAATATACATCATATTATATCAAACCTATATATAATCTATGATGTTATCGTATATAGGTATATGTGTTTAGTGTACACAGTATATATGTATATATATATCAGGTAGGTATATAAAATAAATTTCCCTAGTTTGTTTATTGTATCTTATCGGTAATGTCACAGATCGTATCATTTTACATTTTTATCTGTCGCATAAGAGCATCTCCCCTTACGAACCGGTGAGAATTGGTACTTTTGCTAAACAGCTCAAAATGTAGCTATCTAAGTATTTTAAAATTGTTTCATTTTGTCAAGTAAACAATAATTAACCCAAAATGGTTTTACGTGATAATTCCGATAAGTCGTAGCATTTTTACAACCCCAAAGTAGATATAAAAGATAGAAAAAAACATCGTTTCGAAGCGCTCAGAATATATACAGTTAGGTATAATGATAGCAGAATGTATAATTATTAATAAATTCAACTCCTTAAAAGAACATATCATGAATAAATTCTAGCCAAAGAACACTAGTTCATGATAATAATTATTATTGTTTTTCACTATCCTAATATGACATACCGACTATAGTTCAAAATCAAAATCTTTTTCAAAATAAATACCGAATAATTGTCTAAGATTTTTGTTTTTGTAATATAAAATAAACAATGATGCTCATTAAAATTACGAAAATATAGAAAAAAATTGTTTTTCTATCTTACCTCTAAGAAAACAAAATATTTATGCTATTCAAATTGAAATTTAGTACAGATTATTTAATGACATTATAGACTGTTGAACGACTAAGCTTCAAAACAATCAAAACTAACCAACAAAACTATAGATTTAAACTTGTATTTTAAGTTAGGAATATATTATTATAAATGTTATATTTTTACCAATTTTTCAATACTTTAAAGATATGTGTATGTGTATATTTATTATCTTTAATCTTTTTATTATTCATTCTATGATTTCACGTGTGTGAAATGTTCATGTACCTACCTACCTTAATCTATTTTATTTTTAATAACTATGTAATTGTCTTGTATATTCAGTATGTAATTTGAAAACATTTTGCATGATTAATTATATTAAAATTTTGGTTTTGAATTTACATTTCAAAAGTTAGCGTTAAATATTTCAGTTACTCACAATTTGTTTTACTTTTTTTTTAGTTAATACAAACGGTAAAATATGAAAGATTAAAAAATTATAAAGAAATTAAACAATACAAATTAAAGTTAAGTTAATGTGGGTGACATTTGTTTACATTAATGTTGACATGTTGTACTCGAAACGTTGGTACTTAGGTACTCTCGAAATACTCAATAATGTAGTACAGCTGGTAATGAACGTTTGCCAAAATATTGAATGCACTCGCCACACACACATTAAGTTAAAACTCATTTCTCATACTCAATACTCACACAGTCACGCTAAAAGATAAATCCAAAATTTCATGTAAATTACACATATACAGTGAAACATAAAATATCGTCTTCACGCTCAAAAGTAAATTCAAAAACCCGCAATCACGAAAATCGTGCCAAGTGTTAATAATATACCCGAATAAACACGCACAAAAAAAGCGTACTTAGGTGAAGGTGCCAAACTACGTATAAACTAACGAAAAAAAAAAACAAAATCAGTGTACACACAGTAAACACAAAAATGTTCGAAAATATCGCGTTTATACAACAAACACACACACGCAAGTTGCGCTAAGGCTGAGGTAAGTTTCTTAAGCTCAGTATATAATAATAATAATATATTGAATATATCGAACTCAACATTATTGATAAATGAAGTTCTTTATTCTTATCGTCAAAGTAGACTGCTATTCAGTAAAAGGTGCAATGCGTATATTTTAATCTCTATCCAACTATAATCTTCGAATATACTTTTTCAACTATTTTTTCCAATTCAATAAAGTGTCAAAATGCAAATAGTTTACTTCATACATAAAATATTATACATTTATATTTTGAATTTTTATGAATTTTTATAATTTATTTGCCACTTTTCGTGAATGTTTTTTTAAAACTGTTTCGTGCATATTTTTCCTTTTTAGCTCCTTACATAACTTACGAGAAATAGTTACACTCTATATACATAGCACTTTCGGTTATATCCATACATACTGACATAATACGTAATTATCTTTAACTATTTTACATACCTATATATTTTCATTTCATTTTGTAATGTCATACCTCGATATAATACAATATAATATATTTTACATTTTACATAACCGGCCGGTGCTCGGAGAATCACAAGTTGTAGGCGTTCACTAAAAGCTGCGGTGGGATATTGGACTCGCCCAGTCGCTGTTCGACAATTGAAACCGTGTCGTTATTGGTCCTCACGTTGTAAGCCTTTTAATCCGCCTCCTTAAAGCTCGACGTTCTCGATCTGCGTGTTTGTTTCGTTCGAAACCCACAATGACACAAATGTATATTAGAATGTATAATGGTTCGAATACAGAATTTAAGTCGTTATGAGTTAGGTCGTAGCCCGTTGAGATACAGCGCAGGCGAGTCGGCTTAAATATGAAATAATATCGGCAACTACGATGAAATTCTTTGAACTTCAAAAAAAATTTGATCGATGTTTTTAGAAATATTATCAATTAAACTTCAACGAAAATCGGATAATAATGTGTCTTCAGTGCGGTGCTTGTTCGAAAGATACGTCGCGTGGGGGCACGCATCAGTTTTCAATTTATAAATTACATGGGTTGCGGATACTAAAGACAATGCGATAAAAATTCAACTTTTTTAAACAAAACCGAATCTACAGTACCTTTGCTGATGTATCTACAAAACTTTTTGACTTTTTATTGCAATTGTTTTTCGAGCTATTTTATTGTACTATCAACTAACATACATAATCAAACCAGAAATGTGCAGATTAAATTAAAAGATCCATAACTAAAAAATTAAAAAGTTAGACTCAGAATGGGTTAAAGATGTTTTTTCATAATTTAACGCATACTATCATAATATAACACCGTCCTGTCATTTCTCCACAGGGCACACTGTTTAAGTTAAACCATTTAACTGAATACAGATGATAAGTAAATCTTAACTCGTCGAGGTAGGTATACATGTCTTAAAATGAAAATAAAATCAGAAAAACGCGAGGTAACTAAAGTGAATTCGTTCCTTTGTATTTTAAAATACAAGTTAAGTTTCATAGTTTTAAAAAGGTATTTAATATTTATAATTATTATTTTTAACACTGTACATTAACCTCCCCCCTCTTTACTAACAAAAAGGGTTGGATTTTACGCATATTTAGAATGTTATAAAAAAATATCTTATTCTTTCTTAACCTCAGTGTATTAATAAATTTATCGCCCGGATTTGTAGTATGCATTTGCATTTTTTTTTTAACAGCCCAAAAAGTAGCTGGATAAACTAAAAATTTGAATCTTTAAATAATGTGATGGTATGCAAAATAAAATTTTGCATATTTTTGCATATTTGGACCATTTTAAATTTGAATACATATACTTAAGCATTTTATGAAAATCATAAATATTTTATGATGCATGTTTACAAAAAAATAATAGTATCAAGTGTAGAATAGTATTAATAATGCTAATATATAACGCTATATACGTCCTACGTAAATCCTACGAATGTGCAGGGAAGAAAAAAATCGTGTAGTGTAATAAGACTATTTGCAAAAATTACGCGTATTTCCGGTATAACCTTAGATATAGCAAAGTTTCCTTCGGCCTTTGGGTGCCACTACGATAATTTATCGCCGGTAATGATCTCGATATTGTTGTATTGGGCGTTTAATGGGTGCAAGTAAAAGTTAGCAATAAGAA